AAAAATCATAATCTCAAAATATTGGTTGAGGTCCATGAAAAAAACTTTAGTAAAATTAGAACTGACCATGGATTCCTGTACCCTAAAAATAAATAGAAATACCAGAAGCAGAAACATAAAGGTTGGGAAAGAAATAGGGAACAGGAAGAGCAAGAGATGAGGAAAGAGAGGAAGAAGGAAGAAAAAGGAAGGGAAAGGAGGAAAAGGGCAAAGGAGAGCCGACCCTAAGTCAGTATCGCTTCCTGCCTACTCGGAAGAGCACAGTATTTTCATTGTGCAAAAGACATAGCCCAATAAAAGAACTGCTTGCTTCATTTAACCCAAAAAAATGACAAAACAATGTATCACAAATAAGAAAAAGGGAAAATGTGTTAGTAAAAAGAGAAAAGATAAAAAGGAAAATAGAGCTTTAATAACACTTTCATTTAGCTAGGAAGAAAATAAAAAAGTATGATTTTTAAACTCTAAATATGAACATTAATTCAACATATTCAATCAGAATGAAAATACTGCTCAATGAGAGCAACAGCAAAGCTTTTGATCATAAGCTATAATTAATTTCTATAAAAATCTAATATTTTAAAAACTCCTAGATATAAAATTACTAAAGAAATTACAATTGTAAATATGTGTAAAACAAAAAGAACATACTTCTCTTAGCAGTTCTGAGACCTCTTATGAAAAATTTAAGATAATATAGACACATAAAAATCAAGCTATAAAGGCAACATAATGTTATAGAATGTATTTTAAATACCACAGGTAAAATGTCTAAATGAATGGAGCATCATTTGTTTTTTGAGCAGGTCCAAAATATCCTGTAATTAAATAAGTGGAGTGCTAGGAAGAATTTCTTATACGTTCTTTGAGTGTACTGCAAATGCTACCTAATTTGATTTGGCATGAACTATTCAGAACTACTAATCAGGCAGACCAGATGCCACACTTACAAGCTGAGTGCTTGGGAGGCTAAAGCAGGAGGACAGCCACAAGTTTAAGGCCAGCCTAGGCTGCATAATCCAGCCTGACCTACACAGTGAGGCCATCTCAAAAAAAAAAAAAAAATTAATCATTTAAAATACTAGGCCCGGGGAGATAGCTCAGCAGAATAAGTGCTTGCCTGGCAAATGCAGGGTCCTGAGTTCAATCCTCGGTACCGCAAAAAATTAAAATAAAATACTGAAAAACTCAGAATAACAGCTAGTCTGGTTTATTCTGGGATTTTTTTATGTTATTCTACTGTTTATAAACAACTTTCAAGTGGTAAGAATAAAAATTATGAGCATTTTTCATAATTTTGGCATACCTTTAGCTAAGGCTTCTTTGTATTTCTCTTTGGCAGAATTCATTTCTTTTATTAACTGTCGATAGCTAGATTTTAATTTCTCCAATTCTGTTTTTGTAACCTGTCAAAGAAACAAAACACATAAAGTTCATTAAATATTTAAACTTGGGGCTGGGGAGATAGCTCAGTGGAATAAGTGCTTGCCTGGCAAACACATGGGCCTGAGATCAATCCCTGGTTCCGCAAAAAAAAAAAAAAAAAAAAAAATTTAAATTTAGACTAGTCAAGAGCTAAATTCCACAACATTAACATTTATTTTACTACTTACTGGTCAGAGTTGCCTTTTAATATATAATTACAGGCAATAAAGTAAAACTTTGTTTAAAACCAATAATAAATTCAATAGCACAAACACAGACAAACTAAGAAAATTACTAAAATCATCCAAAAGTTAAAGACCATCATGAGAATTAGGTCTCTCAGGAAGAAATGAGGTAGGAATTTAGGAACAAAACTAGTCAAATAACTGAGCAAACGCTGTCTAAGCTAAGGACACCCAAGGCACATGCACAAGCACAGAACCCATCATGACTGCAGCACCTAAGCGCTGTACTCAGAACCAATCAGAAATGTGCTATTTTCAGTGCTTCCTTTATCGAAGCAATCTTCAATAAGACAATTTAAATCTGGCACCAGGCCAAGTTAGTTTTGGGGAGGACAACTGTCCCATGTCTCATCTGTGCCAGGGAGAAGCCAATCCAGTCATTCTAAATACAAAATACTCCTCCTTTCATCCTAGTGACCACCTAGAGTCCACTGACACACCTGTGCTACCTCTGCAGAACATGTGTCTCTTCTACCTTCAATAAATGTATATCACCACTATGTTTCTAGTACTTTTTTTTTTTTTTTGGTACCGGGAATCAAACTTAGGACCTTGTGCTTGTCAGGCAGGCACTTGTACCACTGAGATACATCCCTGGCCTAGTACCTGTCTATGTCTGGCCCAATTCTTTTTCAGGACAAGAGCCTAGTGAAAATTTCCCTGAGACCCATTCTGGTACCATGGGGACCCTCCTATGCCCATTACCCAGCCCCATGGACACCAGGCCTCTTTCAGAAAGAGCAGGTCCGCAATATCCTGGACCACTGTGCCTTCCACAGCCTGGACTAGGCTCTACCTCCTGGCTCTTGTCCCCCCAGGGAACAAGTCTGTCACTGTCTTTGTCAGCTGGGTGATTTTAAACTTCCATTCTTCAAAGACACATATTATACAAAGAATGTTTGTTATTTGTTTTTTGGTTTTTTGGTTTTTGGTTTTTGCTTTTGTATTTTAGTGAACTGTCTACAAGGTGTTCAGGGTCTCACTACTAGATTGGACTCATAGTGATTCTCCTGTTTTCAGCCTCCCAAGAGCTGGGATTATAAACATGTGTCACCACACTCAGTCTCAATTGCTGACTCAACAAGCCCTGGGGGCAGGGCCAGGACTGCAGGCCCAGGGATCGAACCCCTGGTCCCTGCATCTGCTTGCAGGCAGTTTAATCCACTGAGCTACTTGGTCGGCCCTCAAAGAATGTTTTAAGTGCCTCAACAATTGAAATTTAAAGGCTAATATATTAATTTGCAATGTAAGAAATATTTTGTATCACTAAAAATTATTATTATAATGCATGCTTTCTAACAGTAACTGAGTAATCCTATTTCACCAGTTCTACACGCTTTATTATTTTTTAAAAATATTTTAACATCCCTATAAAGAGGGTGCATCCCATTTGGAGATAAGCACTTTAGCCAGACAGCAGTGAAGACAGCAGTCACACACAGCATGCATGAATCTGACTACTGCTTATGTGGCACAGATAAATAAATGTCATCCCTTGACTTAGTAGTCAACGAGGTACCTAAATACAATTTAAGTAAGAAAATAAGTCCCAGAAATCTGTAAATCTTCCTATATGCCTTCTAATACTGAGAAAGAACATTAAAAACATGAAGCACAACCACTTGGAAAACAATTTGAGATCACTTGTTTAAGGATTCTGAGTCACAAATGTTCTTGATAGCACAGTGAGTAATACTGTGTAATAAACCAAAATAGGAATCCAAGTCATTCTCTCAAGAAAAAAACCTCACTGGTCAATTCTGAATTGGTGAAGAACTAATTCATTATTCCAAACACCAGTAAATTAACTAGAAAAAGCAAACACTTACCTGGCTTTTCCCAATGAAATATAATTTATGGAACCAAAGAGTTGATATAGGAAAATATTTTTTAAAGCAAAATTTCAGTTAACTTGATTTAAAAAATAAACAAATGTAGAAAATAATAGAAGTAAAATACTATATAAGCATTGTACAAATTCAAATAAGTAGATCTCATTCGACCCAGGCCTGGCATGTGAGTAGGATCGCCCAGGGCTCACCGGGTCCTCATTTGACTCAGAACCCAGGCCCAGTGTGAGTGAGATCTCCAGGGACCCGCCAGGTCCTCATTCAACCCAGAGCCCAGGTCTGGCATGTGAGTGGAACTTCCTCCATCAGATAGGCCCCGTGTGGAACCCTGGGGCAGAACTCACTGCAGAGATTATAGGTGGTCTGAGTTTTGAAACTACCTATGTTAGTTTAAGAGAACACTTTGAGAAATGGGGCACACTCACAGATTGTGTGGTAATGAGAGATCCTCACACAAAATGCTTCAGAGACTTTGGTTTTGCGACTTACTCTTGTGTTGCAGAGGTGGATGCAGCAATGTGTACTCAACCACACAAAGTTGATGGGAGTGTAGTGGAACCAAAGAGAGCTGTTTCTAGAGAGGATTTTATAAAGCCTGGTGCCCATCTAATAGTGAAGAAAATGTTTGTTGGTGGTATTAAAGAAGATACAGAAGAATATAATTTGAGAGACTACTTTGAAAAATATGGCAAGATTGAAACCCTAGAAGTTATGGAAAACAGGCAGAGTGGGAAACAGAGGATTTGCTTTTGCAACTTTTGATGATCACAATACAGTTGATAAAATTGTTGTTCAGAAATACCACGCTATTAATGGGAATAATTGTGGAGTGAAAAAGGCCCTTTCTAAACAAGAGATGCAGTCTGCTGGATCACAAAGAGGTGGTGGAGGTGGATCTGGCAACTTTATGGGTCATGGGGGAAACTTTGGAGGTGGTGGAGGGAATTTTGGCTGTGGTGGAAACTTTGGTGGGTGGAAGAGGAGGTTAGAGTGTAGAAGAGGTGGCAGCAGAGGTAGTTATTGAGGAGGTGATGGTGGATATAATGGACTTGGAGGGGATGGTAGAAACTATGATGGTGGTCTTGGTTACAGTAGTAGAGGAGGGCATGGTGGTGGTGGACCTGGATATTGAAACCAGGTGGTGGATATGGTGGTGGTGGAGGAGGATATGATGGTTACAACAAAGGAGGAAATTTTGTTGGTGGTAACTATGTTGGTGGTAGGAACTATAATGATTTTGGAAATTACAGTGCACAGCAACAGTCAAATTACGGACCCATGAAACGAGGCAGTTTTGGTGGAAGAAGCTCTGGCAGTCCCTACGGTGCTGGTTGTGGATCTGGTGGTGGAAGTAGTAGATATGGTGGCAGAAGGTTTTTAAAAACAGCAGAAAAGGGCTACAGTTCTTAGCAGGAGAGAGAGCGAGGAGTTGTCAGGAAATTTGCAGGTTACTTTGAGACACTTGTCCCAAACGCTTTAGAGGAACTCTAAAAATCTGTCATAGAAGGAACGATGATCCATAGTCAGAAAAGTTACTGCAGCTTAAACAGGAAACCCTTCTGGTTCAGGACTGTCATAGCCACAGATTACAAAAAGTGCAGCTATTGATTAATGCAATGTAGTGTCAATTAGATGTACATTCCTGAGGTCTTTTATCTTTTGTAGCTTTGGCTTTTTCTTTCTTTTCATTTCATCAGGAATATTGCCCTATAAATTGTGGTAGTGGCACCAGGAATAAAAAATTAAGGAATTTTTAACTTTTAAAAAAAACCTTGTCGGAGTAGGAATTTCTGCCGACTTCCAGGAACCCCCAGACCCAGTCCTAGCCCAGGTCGGGTGAGTGTGTGGAGAGCTTCCTGCTACCCTGCACCGCGGGACCAGTCCCAGCCCAGGCGCAGCGTGGGCAGGACCCTATCCCGCCCCCTCGAGCCGCCCCCCACCCCTCCCGCAGAGTAGGAATTTCTGCCGAGTTCCAGGAACCCCCAGACCCAATCCTAGCCCAGGTACGCAGCGGGAAGGAGCTGAGCACAGCAGCCATAACTAAGCCAGACTCAGCTCGATAACTCCAAAATCTGTAGAGCTCCACCTGAACTTCAGTACGTGTGAAGGTTATAACTACAGCAAAGATCTACAAC